TCGGTCCAAATATTCTCCTCAACACTCTGTTCTCAAACACCCTCAGTCTACTCGTATGTTCCTCCTTTAATGTCAGACACCAAGTTTCACACCCATACAGAACCACAGGCAAAATTATAGTTTTGTATATTCTAATTTTTATGTTTTTGGACAACAGATGTGAAGACAAAAGGTTCTGGACTGAATGGTAGCAAGCATTACCCGAGTTCAATTGCCTCTCAATTTCCTCCTGAATCAGGTTTTGATCTGTTATCGTTGTTCCCAAATATCTGAACTGTACCATTTTCAAAACATATGTTTCCTATCTTTATGTGATGATTTTGCCCTGCATTTTGTTGACAAGACAGTAACATATACTTAGTTTTCTTTGTGTTTACTTCTAGACCAACCTCTTTACTTGTGTTAATTAAAGTTTGTGTTTTTCTTTATGGTATTTACATTATCACAGTCCCAACCCACTAGCAATAAGAAAAATGACTATGACCTGCACTCTGATAATAACACATGAACATGTGCTTAGTTCTTTAGACCAACCTCATCACCAGTATCTAGGTGAGTTACTGTTTTTGCTCACTAGAATATCATCATAGACTAGATTACACTAGGAGCTGGAATACTGTAGTCCTAACTTTCAGACCTTCATAATGGTATGTTCTAAAGCTAGTTTTAAAAGCAATGGCAATAACACTTCCCCTTATTTCGGACCATCTGGAAGAAGAAATCCATGAGGTATATATTTATCTACATGGTCTCCCTTATAGATCTGGCTTAACACATTTTGATTAACCTGACTAGTTTCATGGGTATAACAAACTCAATGAACATGTGCAATTCTCCTCTCCTGATTTTTTAAGTCACTCCACCTTCTCTTCTAGATTTATTTATAGTTTTTTCATTACAAATCCTAGGCCAGCTGGAACTCAGAATGATGCAGTCTTTAATAATGGGAATATAAACCAAGTAAACTAATAACTAGGCCATAGCAAGCCTCAAGAATTCTTTAGTCACTAAAATCGTTGGTTCACACTAAGCGAAGTTGTTAAAAGATGACAGTCAACTTTATGCTAACAGGCAATTAACAAGTATACAGCATAAAGAATACCAATGCACTCTTGATTTATTTACTGACCAAGTCACATAAAACTCTTTGTAACAATCTAATTTTTTGAAAGAATATAAATTAAGGAAACACAGTTACTGCTTTTTTTCTCATCCTACAATAAGATCATAGGTTTCAAGTGTTTGAGAACAGGATAGTAAGGAAGCAACAGAAGGATGAAATATTACTAAACAAGGAGCTTCATAACTTGCACTCTTCATTAAATATTAGCATCATTAAATCAATGGCATATGAACAAGGCATGTAACTTACATGCAATGCATAATAAAGGTGTCTGTATTTTAGTATGAAAACTTGGAGAGAACACAACTTATGGAAAATAAGCATAGATTGGAGGATAATATTTTAAAGAAATGATGTGTGGACTGGATTCAATTGGTTCCAGTAGGGGGCCCCTGTGAAAACTGAAATGAACTTCAGAACCCATAAAAGCAAGAGAATTCCTTTACCAGTTGCATGACTATTACTATATCTAGAATACTTCGTTCTTTAGAGCAAGTTATGTAATTTCATAAATGTTTGTCTATGAACAAATGATGGAAAATTACAGAAATTCTTACAGTAATAAGTAAAATTACTGAGTCCACACGCAATTTCGGTCAATGGTTTTCAAAACAAGATGTCAGTCATCATTGACACTAATATTTGAACTTCTCTCCTTGGTCTCTTCACAGTTCTTTTAAGCTCTTGGTGTCTTCAGACACATCTCCCTCCTTGTCGTATTTTAAGATACACAGGTACCTCTTGTCTGTCCTATAATGAGTGGGTAATTAGTGTTCAAATCCTGCTTCTAATGATTTACATAACTACTTTCATGCTCACTCCTGGCTGACTGTGAAAAAGAAAACAATATTTCGTGACTGACATGACTGCTGAAGGCTTCGTTATGTATTCAAGCCCTTGAAATCTTCTTTGTGGCTTTGGTATCCTAAATGCAGAAAAGGGCAAAACTGCCTGTAAAAGGTTGAGTCAGTCTCATGGAGTAACTCTTCAACCATTCATTATACCCATGAATCAGACCATTATTGGTATACAATGGATTACATGAAGTTGTAGACATTGTAATAATTATAATATTCCTTTATTAAAAACTAGTAAAATTACAAGAGAAAAAACTTTGCTTTTAAAATAACAGAATATTGAATATGATTAATAACATCTTCAATACATCACTATGACAGTGTACTTCAACTTCAACAGTCAGGAGAAGCACATATCAGATCATTAATTTTTCTACCTGACTCTTGCAGCAAGATTACGTCTAAGTCTAAAGCTGAAAATGGCTTTTAAGTGATTAAACTCAGTAGCACTGTACAGCATAGCTATGCTCACAAACTGCACCTTAAAGCAAACTGACAAAGTCGCTACTATTAATACTTGCAAGAGAGGGAATATAAAGTACAACAGTCTTTGTGTATTGTCTCTCAAACCTCACACTAACTGAGTGTGCATAGACACTTATTTTGCTCAGTAAGGTTTTCATTAAAAGTGGCTCAGTGAATTAAAGTTCCACAGTGTGAAAATATCTACACCCAGCCTTCAAATTCATTCCAGACCTTCTATTATACATTACTGATCTACCGATACCTTACAGTTTCAGCAGTGAAGACACTGCTGAATAACCCACACACACATATACAAAAAAAATATTAACCTATATAAAAACTTTTATGTATATTTATTGGCACATTCAAACAATACTGTCAATGAACATTAATGATTCTTCACGTAAATAGTTTTCATAAGCACACTGACTCTCTTTGTGAGAACACAGAGAGCAGAACAAGGTTATGTAATTGCACATTTCGACAGCCACTTAAAAATATATACATAAAAATGAGTCAGTGTGTTTGATGATGAGAAAAAAATTCATTTGTGGTTTTCAGGACAGTGACTGTGATGTGATGCTGTGTAGTCTGGTACAAGTTGACCATTTTGGAAAAAAAATACATCCTCCGCCTTCAGTGCTGAAGAGTAAGCCAATCAAGAAAGGAAGAGCTACTTATTTGGCTTACTCTTCAACCATGAACATGAAGGCAGTACATTCCTTCGAAATGCTGGTCAACTTCTACCAGAGTACACAGTGTCACAACCCAGAAGACAGACACTTCAAGAAACAAATCGGTTTCCACGGATATATATATATATAAAGCTGAATATTACTACCACAAACCTTAACCTAGGAAGATGGCTTCAGTGATGTCTGATAATTTCAATCAGTCTTAATTTGTGGTATATTTTACACTGCTAACGTATTCTCACCATTACAATTGCTGCTAATGTGTTCATTTGGCTACACATGCTTGAAAGTACAAATTACTCCACTTCCACAATGCTTGTACTAAGAGAGAGGTTTAATGCTATTAATGGCATAAATGCTCTCGCAATATTCTGGCAGTGTTCAGGAACATTGATTTTCTGTAAGAAACACAGAAATAATTTAAGTTTCTGTGCTATCTGTTTTTATTTCCATTGAACAGGCAACACTGCATTCACAAGCTACTGTCC